AATGGAACTAAAAAATAAAGTAATTACCTCTTCATGTGTTAAAAAGTTAAGTTGAATTGCCCGTTGCCATAGAGATGGTTTCCTGTTTACCACACTGGTCTTCTCACAGCTGTTGAAGACCAGTCAACCCAGCCAATGGGAAAACAGCATTTAGCTTCCCTTATTCCATTAGTGTTAGAGATGGTGAGTCAATACAACCTATAATTTACCAGTCAAAACTTTGGTAAATTTTATTTTCATATATATTAGTGGTTCTACATTAAAAAGAAAATCCAATGTAGGGAACCAGCACTATGGTTAAAAAAACATGATTTTATATTTTGAGAGGTGGGGGCATCCCTATGTTTAAAATACCCTACCTGTGCCTTTTGACATCCTGGTATAGCATTTCCAGTATCTCAGACAGGCTCTTGGAATACGGAACTTTCCTGTTTCCTCTTCACATGTAAAGAAAGCTGCACTGCTACCCAATAGTAATGTAGAATAGTCTTAATAACAATAGCAAGGCTGTGACTTTCATTCCCATCCCCAAGTACCCCCGAATTCTAAAGTACACTACTCAATGTGTGATAATAAATAAAATACTTTGAAAACTGAGAAGTTTTTTTCTCCTTGTCTGCATATAAAAATAGTATCAAGCAACCTAATGAGTCTTGAGAGAGGGCACCACAGATCTGAGTAACAAACTCTGTCGAAGAAGAAAGGTGTGGAGGACTTGGTGGAAGTGCGGAACACTGGAATACAAAGTCAGAAGATAAAAAAGAAAAGTGATCTGTGTACTTTCTCTTGATATTTATCAGGGAGGAAGCCAGCTTGAAGCTTCAAAATGGCCCTCGTGTTGAACAGCTGGCCTCTAACTGCATCTCCAGGAGCATGAACTTCCACCTAGTCCCTTCTTCATCGTAGGTGTGTCTCAACCTTGGAAGAAGCCCAACGCTTCCCTATTGTACCCTCTGGCCTTTGCCACATTCTACCTGCCCACACCCTTTGGGTCTGTTCTTCCTGTCCCCTTCCCGCCACCTCTCTGTTCCTCTCTGCTGCCCCTGGGTAACACCTGTGGCTTTTGAATATACCTAACTATGTCAGTGAAAATGATGGGCGGCACCTTGAATATGCTGTGTACTTCAGCTTTATACTAAATGATGAAAGTATGTGTGGTCATTTTAGAGCTGGACAATCATTTCCTAGTGCCCTTGGGGGTTGGTTCTAGGAACCCTCACAATACCAGACTCTGTGGAAGAAGTTTCCAATGGTGCAGTATTGGTGGGTGACCTAGCCCACCCTCCTGTTCACTTCAGATTGATTCTAGATGGCCTAATACCCAATGTGTGAAACGCTGTGTGAATAGCTGTATATAGTATTTAGAGAAACATGACAAGATAAAAGGTCTGGACGTGTTCAGTGGTATGACATCTCAGCAAGTCTGGAATTTTGTCTGAAAGCCTTTCTGTGAGAGACCAGTGAGCAGCTATCGTTTCAGAAGGAATGATACAGAATTCAGGCAAAAGTGAATGGTGTAGAAGAGTTTTTGCATCTGTGTTGAGATTGAACTTTGCCATATGTTAGTCTTATCAATACCTGTGCATTTATCAGAAATATTCCCTTCTCCACTGAGGGACTCTTTGGATCTGAAACACAGCTATTTTTTAAAACCCACCATCTGAAAGTATTGTCAACAGATTCATAGAATTCTGCTGCGTATTTTTTTTTTTTTTAGGATGAAATCCAGTTCACTGTCCAATATCAACTCTGCCTGCCTAATGTGAAAAGTTTGTATTTTTGTCACTCTTCATTGCGGGAGACACGGTTCAGCTCTGCCTGGCAGCTGGTGAAAGTTTGGTTTCTGTCATCTAAGAGGATAGAGGGGAGGGAGAGGGCAGACAGGCATATGGTATGACTGGAAGTGCCCTTGAAGTGAGGGAGGACCGTGGTACGGACATCAGCAGTGAACTAGTGAAGAGGCGTGACCCGGAAGCACCAGAAGGTTGCAGCCATCTGCTGCCCACAGTGACCTGAGTCCTAGTCAGTGGCCCCTGCCTTGTTTCTAGTCTAAGGTGGGGCCACATCGATGCCTCAAGAACTAGATCTGTCTGTCATCACTTCACACAAATGCTCCAACTTCTGTTTGCTCTGAGTCTTGGCCTTGGTCAGCATATTTGGGACGCCTCTGTTTCAACGGCTTACATTCTCCATTTGTCAGCGCGTTACATAAAAGGTATGAAAGGCCGTGAACTTCTGCAAGAGGAAGGAGCCGAAGGAGGAGGTGGCACACGGTGTACTGCTCCAGTCTGACACATGTCGAGCAGCAGTAGATGCTGTTCACAGAGACGCCAGCCAGGCATGCCCGCCTCTAGAGAGACAGGCCACACAGTAGCAGCAGCAGCTCACGACAGCTGGTTTTCCTAGCCTCTAAGCTGAATGGCCAAACACTTCTGTGCTGGAGAAGAAGAAAAAATAGATAAATAAATAAAATAAATGCATGCAGTGTTTTCCCCCTCCTGTAGCTGGGTGAGACATTAGTCATCTGTTCGGGGAAACTCGGGCAACATGGGATACATTTAGAATGCTGGATGCTGAGTTGAATCTGATCCGCAGCATGTTTCAGTGCTATAGTCTGGGGTAGGTTCATCGGGCATGAGGTTTATGCGTGAGGAAAGGGAGCTATGGGTATGTCAAGTCAGAACCTATTTTGGGTGACAAGAGCATCCCGGGGACACGGCTGGGCTTGAGCCTCATCGAGTGTAAGGAAGATCTACGGCTGACAGCGGTTGGGAGCTCATCCCTGCCACCTCACCGTCTTCTAACTCTTACAAGATCTTAGGCTGGAATTCTGACCCCAGGCAGCAGCAGAACTGGGAGACGAGGATCTGGCAACTGCTCACGCTCCCTCCTGGGAACTCTTGGTGTGGCTTAGCCCTTTATTTCTTCCTCCTGTCCTCTCTCATTATTAGGGTCACCGTTCAACCGTGTCAACACAAATACACGCAGGGCTCAGCTGCTTCACGAGCAATGCGGCGAGCCGTGCCTGGTGGCTCAGATCTGCAATTCCAGCTCTTACACAGCTGAGCATCGCAAGTTCGAGGTTTCAGTTATGGGCTTCATTTCAGCTGGGGATCTATGGCAAGATCCTGTCTTAAACACAACGAGAAATACATTTTATCCAGTAGACTTTTAACCTATAATTAATATTTAAGGGTCAAATTATTTAACATTGTATTCTCGCCTATCAAGCCTTCCAGACGTGGCGTGCGTTGAGTACAAGTTCATCCTGGTTTGGCCTTAGCCGCATTTCAAGTGGCTGTTAACTGTGGGTGGCAGTGGCTGCCTACAGGACAGTAACTGCTCGCTCGCCGTGACCTCCTGCTGGGTGGCTGATGCTTGGTCTGTAGGGTCTCTGTCAGTCAGTCTGTCCTTTCTGTGGCTGCCCCTCAGAAATCTCTGGTAACCCACTTACCTTCCAATTAGCTCCAAGGCTTTGTCTGTTTTGCATTTCCTTTCCCAGCTCCACCTCTAGGGGGCAGCTCCAAAAGGTGTCCCAGGGAGCCCTCTAGTGACTGCTCTCGGGAATGCACAGGACTTTGCAAAAACAACCCTGGGGGGAAAATGGAAATAAATTGTAAACTAAACAAATAAGGCATCAAAGTCCCGTTCCAGGGGCTCTATGAGTTCCAGATGACTCGGCAGCTCTTCCTGTCAATTCAAGGCAGTGAAGTCGTCCCTAAGTCAACTGTGCTCTAAGACGATCACTCTCAGGGGTTTTCAACAGAGCCTCCTTCTCATGCCACTGGCAAAATTCAGCTTTCTAGAGAAGTGTCTTAAGGCTCTGCTTCTTTTGTTTACTCCCAAAGCCTCCAGGGTGTAGCAGACCTAGGCTAATCTGCCATTAGTCTAACACTACCCTTTCTTCATGGAGCTCATAGGCACAGGTAAGCTGACCCATCCAAGGACCAGGAGCAGACATGCCTGGACTTGAAGCATCAGTGTATCAAGATGGCAGGACTGACTCCATCAATGCATGAAGGTCCCTGGACCAAGGGGAAGGGGACAGTCAGATTCCAGAGACAGTTTTATGAGAGCTTCTGAGGAAGGGCTCCCTTCTCTCTAAAGTGTGTGTACTGGAGGAGACTATTCTCTCTCCTCCTGCGCGTGGTGGGTACATCCAAAGTGAGAAACTTCAGTGGCCATTTTTGCTACCAAGAAGAGACTGCACCCTGCATCCCCAAGAGAGATAAAGCCAACACAGAGGCTTGGAAGCAGCCTGGGGGACGCTACAGAGACCAGCTGGGACTACAGTGTCTGCACTTCCGGGTGCATGGTCAGTAAATAACTCAGTGGAAAGGAAGTCGGGGAGGAATGTGTGACCTGTAGGAGGACCTTGTACTGGACGAAGCATCCAGAAACTTCTCTGCATAATCTACAAGCTACTGGTAACAGATAAAGAGTGAAACTTCGTGGAATTATTTTTATGCAAACACACACACACACACACACACACACACACACACACACACACACACAGTGGGGGGCGGGGTGATGCCCTATGCTCTTAAATTCGGTTTGGTAAGTTGGATTTATACTAAACTTGGCAGGCTGAAGTGGGTAAAACAAGGTACCTGCTTTCTCCTCTTAGAACAAGGGACAGGGACTCAGTTTGACATTAAGTTAGAAACATTGTTTTAAAAAGTGAGCTCCCAGAAGTCTACAGACTGAGATTTTTAACTTGAAATAAAGAGAAATGACAGTCCTGAAGAACAAGTCTTGGGGGGCTTTGTGCTGGAAGGATTTTCTCTGGCCCCTGGTGTAAAGGAAAGTGTCTCCGGTCCTGCCTTGCCCGGAAGTCCAGACGAATCTCTCCCACCCGTGGTCCTGCAGCTGCGTATAAAATAATCACTCAGAGGCTTATATTAACCGCAAACTGTATGGCCTATGGCTTCAGCTTCTTGCTAGTTAGCTCTTTCACCTCAAACTAACCCATTTCTATAAGTCTGTATGTTGCCCCGTGGCTGTGGCATCTTGTTGCTCCTTTTGCGGTGGGCTTGTGTCTCTCCCCACTCTGCCCTTCTCTCTCTGTGTCTGTTTAGATTTCCCACCTGGCTGTAAGCTTTTTTGCCACAGGCCAAAACAGCTTTATTTATTATCCAATGGGAGCCCCACATATTCACAACATCCAGAAAGACATCCCGTAACACCCTGGTGTAGATGAGTGTTTATCAGCTTGCTAATCTTCTTTGGGACCAACGGGATGATGATGAAGCCATGAAATCCACAACATGCCACACAGCAGGCCAGCCAGCCCCTCCTTCCCTTCTCCTGACGGCAGCTTTACAACCTCCAGCCTATAGGAAGAGAAACGAGGGCAGGTAACTTACCACAGGGTCATCTTTGTCTATGGAAAAGCAGTTTCTTAGCCCTGACCTAACATGGTCTTGATTTGTAGCCTAGGCTAGCCTAGAATTCTTGGTCCTCCTGCCTCAGCCTTGCAGAGGCTGGTGTTACAGGTGTGTGTCAATCCCGGTCCTTACTTACCTCTCCCGATCTGAAAGACTCCACCTAGATGTGGGGCACACTGACTAGGCCAGGCTGGCGCGCTCCTGAGGCCTAGGGATCTGCCTGTTTCCACTTGCCCAGCACTGCGTTACAAGAGTGTGCCACCATGCATACCCACTGTCCCCATGATTGCAGGGCAAGAACGTCATTGACTGAATGTCACCCCAGCCCTCATTTTTGCCACGTTTACCAAAGACAGATGGGGGGAGGGTGCCTGGACGAGGGAGCAGAGCAGACAAGTAACTGGCCCCTGGGTTCAGTTTTAATCTCTGTCGTTTACCAGTGCGTCACCTTTGTGAGGTCATTACTGGTGGGCAGTGCCTGAATGCAGAGAACGAGGGAGCTAGAAGAGTGTGGGGAAGACACGCGCTGTAGCCACGCACATGACCGTGATCTGTGTTCCGGATCCAAGGCTCATTTAGCTCACAGGTGAACGCTTCTGATCAAATACGATTCTGGAGAGATGACGCCCTCACTGGTGACAAAGGTGTGGTTTGTTGGCTGATTTGGTTTGTCTGTGGCAGAGGTGAAAACCCAAAGGAGACAGCTATACAGACCTTGATTCGGTAGGGGCTTCACTGCAATAAAAAACAAAAAACAAAAAACTGGCTTTTTAGATTTTACTCTGTATTTGAAATTCTAGCATTGGAAATGCCTATTCGTAATATGAAAAAAGTCCATCCAATCAAGTAGACATAAATAAGTCTAACAATCCTTTGAAGAAGTACGAATGACCGTGACAGGCAGAAGACAGAGTCTATCAGCAACAAGTGGTTATTTGGGTATGTATGGATAAGCTTCCCTCAAACATACACATACATGAATATGTGCAAGTATACACACACACACACACACACACTCACACTCACACTCACACACACACACACACACACACACACACACTATCGGGTGCACTCCGATTCTCCACTTTTCTGCTTTGCAGGCTTTTCCCGAATCCTCCCTGTCCGCTTGAGCGGCAGAATTGACTCCTGCGACTCAGTACATTACCACGATAGGATGGGGGGGGTGAACTATTGCACTTGTCTTCTCTGAACAAGGACTTAGGAGGCACTTTAGGGGAAATGGGATGAGTTTAGAGACTCCCTGGATTTAAAAGTGCTTCAAATAATTACGTATTTCATATAAATAATTTTTAGACCTTGTAAAATCTTTGAAAAACTGCATATTATAAAGCAACTCATTAATACTGTTAAGAAGACAAGATTCCCCCACTCCCCATCCCAACCCCCATCCCGCCTCCAGAGTTGCGAACATCTCCACAACAGGAGTAAACAACATCCAAGGATGGAAGTGAACATGACCCCTCATACTCACTCAGAGGAGAGGTCTCAGAGTTGCTTTGGACAAAGAAAATAATACCCTAGTGGTTTTTTTTTAAGGTCATTGGGGGGGGGATGGCGGGCTTGATAATGTTTTTCTCCAAAGGTATTTTTGAAGATATCCACTTATTTAAGAGCATGTTATCATGTTAGACAAGAATGGTTGCGATATGTTCTGCTTTCCTGGAACAACCTGTGAGCGAAAGCGTGATAAGCTGACCCAGTGGTATCTAGAGCTAGACAAATGTTACAAATATCTCTCCCAATGTTTGGGTTTTTCTAAACCAGAAACATTTTGCCCTAATTTCATTCCTCCTGATTTTTAACAAGCCATTTGTATTTAGAGGGAATTTTATTTCACATAGGTTTAACTGGCTTACACATATGTGGCGTCGTAGGTGACTGAGAACCCTGTGTTTGTCTTAAAGGCCGCTTGCCTCACCACACAAGCCAGGGTTCTATCAAAGGCCCGCATCTGAAAGTCTTACGGTGACTTTAAAATTGCAGTTGTAGGGGAGACGGAATCCTGGCAGGTTGTCACCCCACACGAGGGTGTTTCAAATTTCAGGAAGAAAGAGCTTGAAGTAAGGAAGGCAGCCTGTAAACTTGACAGGACTTCCCAACTGAAACCTGCCCTGGCCATAAACGACAGGCACCCGTGCCCGGGGCAGTCACACAAAGGAAGTCTCAGCTCAGCTTTGAAATCTTCCAGTGTGGTTGCCTCCCCGAGTAAGACCACGTCCAGTAACACCCCAACAAACCACAACAGAACCTTCAAATCAACTGTAACAGCTGCAGATTTCTACTTAGAGAGTGTGCTAGAAGAGCGGCTGAAATCACACCAAGGTCAATCACACAGACTTGGGGAGAGAGTTTTCCTTCTACTGAATGCCTCCTGCAGCCCAGCAGAACGCCCAGCTTTCTCCTTTGTGAGCATTGACTATGGGTGTGGACAAGGCAGGCTTGTGGAGCTGATGTAGAGTGAAGGGGACTAGTACCCAGATTAAAACACATTGGTCAGAGCCTGGGTGCACGGTGGGAGCCCGTTTTCAGGTTCCCCGTGGCTTTACCCAGCAGGTCCGAATAGAGGATGATTAGGACCACAGGCCTGAGTGCAGGTGTCTGAGGTGGTCTGCACTTGGCTGTGCTGGGGGAGGAGGTCTTTTGCTCCACCCCCTTGGCATCTCTAAAAATACCCTGGGGCAGAGACAGTCAGGGCCTGATGGAAAAGGTTCCAGGCCCTCTCGAGGCTATCCTGTATTTTCTATCTGTTTATCTCCACAATCTAAATCCTTCTATCTAATATTTCCTGCTGCTCACACTGAAGAAAACTCTGGGGAGCTGTGGGGTTGGTGGGTAAACGCCCCACAATGCACTCTGGCTTTCGCACAGCTGCCTTTTTTTTTTTTTTTTTTAAATACTGGGCACAGTGCTAAACACCTGTGGCTGAGCAGTAGAACACACACACACACACACACACACACACACACACACACACACACACACACACACACACCACTGTGTCGTCATTTCCTGACCACACTAGAAACCACATTTCAGCTCACTGCATCCTGATACAAAATACCAAGGTGTGCAAAGGCAGCCCTCACTAGCTCTTCTGAACTGTCAAAGCTGAGGGCAGCTCCAACAGTTCCCCCAGGAGGAGGGTAATGACTGCAGACTGGGCCTGGACCAGCCACTGTCCAGCCAGCTTTCAAAATAATCCTGTGTGGGAGGGAAAACTAACACATTGCTGAATGCCTTCTCCATCCAAGGCTTGACATGTTAATTAGGTCATTTAATCTACCAAAGGCCCTCGAACTGGTGTTTTGAAACCTGCTGTCATTACTTTCCAAGGTGTTACATAATAAACACGTGAATAATTCTATAACTTTTCAGCGATTACATGGCATTATACCCAGTGAATATACTATCATTTCTTCCGCACTCGCTTTTTGTGGTACAGTGTGAATGTTTTACTTCCTTGTTCCTGCAGATAATTGCAACAGTATATTCCCTTTTTAGAAGGCTATTTTTCACCTGTATAATGGTAGAATTTTCATACGTATGTCACATTATTTCTTGATACGTGACATTACTGTATATTCCCTGCCCAGGTTACAAATTCTCTTATTAAACTATTATCTCTTTTAGGTGTGGAATTAAACCCCTTTTCTGTCACCACACATCACTGAAGAGCATAGAAATCTTTATAAAAGATTCCAATCTTGATTAATAAACTATGTGCCCATCTGTGTGTCTTTTAAACTATGTGTATCTGCGTGTGTGTCTGTGTGGAGATCCCCTGGAGCTGGAGTCACACGAGGGTGTGACCCGCCGGATTCGGGTGCTGGGAACTAGGACTCTCTGCAAGAGCACCGCTCGCTCTTAACCGCCTCTCTAGCTCCTATAAATCTTATTCTGTGATCTTGAATTGTCGGGAGTTTCTTACTTGGTGGCTCTTTCTGTTCGTTTGCTCGCCCCCCCCCCCTTCCTTCGGTGTTGAGAAACCAATCCCAAGTCTGTGAGTAGCTAAGCATCATCGGTTGCACCACGGAGCAACCTCCCCGGCCCCCAATGTCTTTGCTGTAGTTACAAGAGTTCAGTTCCTAAATTTACCAATTGTGATATTTTTTAGTTTCATATGCTCACTTGTTTTTCAGGTTTTGCTACAACTCCCCATTTAAAACTTCCTTATGAAAATTTTTAATAGCTGGGTATAATGTTTGCATCTTTTTCTTCTTTCATTTTTGTGTGATAATGTGAGCATTTGAAGTCATGATTATGCCCCTGAGTACTGTTTTGATCACATCCTATAGAATTTAAAATGTAATGGTTTATTTCTCAGAAAGGCTTCAATTGCAGTTTGATTGCCATTGTGAGTTGACAATGAGTTGCAAGAGTAATTTTAATGCCTAAGCAGATGGAGAATTTGGTTTTGTTTTTAACTTTTATTTCTAATTTCTAATATTGCTTTATAATGGTCTGGGAAGTGGGCCTGTCCATCTCATTTGATTTCTCAAGAAGTTATTAACTTAGGACATCAGTTTCCAACCCATTGTTATTGATTAACCAATGCCAACACTTAAAAAAAAAAATCTAACTCTTCGTGGAAATCACAGTAACATAAAAGACAAAAGCAGAGCACTCACACTTGAATGGAGAATTGAGAAGCCTAGAAAAGTCCATATGCATGACCCCTTGGCTTTGACAATGATGCCCCTACATACCTCTGTGAAAGCCTAGGGCTTCACAGAACACACTGTTTTCAGCATATGATCAATAGATGTAATAGATGGATTCTTAGAAACAAGACATCTTTTCAAAAAGATCAATACATTACTACTAACTTGAGCTAACTGACCATAACTGAATCATTCTTATTTAATTTTTGTCAACACATGTCATGGCTGTAAAAGATAACAGAAAGTATTATGGTACCTATTGATAATCTTTGACCAAATGATGTATTTCTATGACTTTCCCCTCCCCACATTTGTAAAACAAAGACTTCAGTGCTGTAAAAATATGCTACGAAATATGGTTTAAACTAGGGCTTCTCAAAGCTGGGAATGTGGCTCAGAGGTAGAGAACTTGTTTAGCATATAAGAAGCCGAGGTTTGATTCTTGACACTTTGCTAACTTTCTAGAATAATACAAGTTAAAACCTAAGCCAAGTTTTTCAAAATTGAATGTGCATAGGAATCACCTAAGATATTTTTTTCTCCTATTGGGGGTTGAACATACTATTTTAAAAACTATTTTATAGATAAAACAACACTCAGCCACACTGTGCAACTTGCACAAGGTTGCACAGCTCACAAGACACTGACACAAGCTTTGAATAATGCCCTACAGCATCTTCTTCCTGACAAACGACACTTTGCATTCTTCTTTCAGTCTCTCCACTCCCTGTGCCTGCCCCTGCCTCCTGCCCCGAACATCACAAACCCTTCTCTGGTCCACGCACTATAGCCAGACTCTGGTTTCAGATCAGTGCTTCAGGTATGTACACACACACACACACACACACACACACACACACACACACACACACACCCTGATGAGTTCGTTAAGTGTTGCTCATGTGTGTTTAGGGCTGACCAATTGGAACTGGATAGCTTACCAGGGGGTTATCCCAGGAGAAGACTGATTCTCCCGGCTCCACAGCCATTAACTGCCTGTAGTTCTTCATCGAGGGGTGGGGCCTGGGAGATTTCCCCTAGCACATGGCTTCAGGTTCTTGCCTGTAACTGAGTACATTGTAGATGTATCTCAGGAGCTGTGGGCAGCTTGCACACATCCTGGGTGAGCTATTATCTTTTTCCTTCTTTGCACCCACCTGTTATAAACAGATTGATGAAAGACAAAGTCCTGTGTTTCCAGGATCCTGAAGGATTTAATCTGCCCAATGACTTGACCAGATCCACTAACAGAGCCGGGGAGGTTCAAAGATCCAGCCAGCCCCGCTGCTCTCTAAGTGTGCCACTGGGCTCACACATACAGGAAGTGTGTGTGTGTGTGTGTGTGTGTGTGTGTGTGTGTGTGTGTGTGTGTGTTTTAAAAATGTCTCTTTTCAATTTTTGAAAGTACACTGTGCTCCCTCCCTCTGCTACATTATTGTAACTGAATGTCTGAAACTTTAAATCTCTCTTTCTCTCTTCCAAAGTCTGTTCAATTCTCTTCCAGCTGGAAAAACACACAGGTCAACACTTTTTTATTCCTCCCCTATCTGCTTTATATTTGTGTTTTTCTTCTTCTTCTTCTTCTTCTTCTTCTTCTTCTTCTTCTTCTTCTTCTTCTTCTTCTTCTTCTTCTTCTTCTTTTCCTTCTTCTTCTTCTTCTTTTTGAGACACCGGTAATATTTTAATTTTAGTTTTTCTCCAATGTTCATCCTTTTGGCTCTTTCTATGATGATTTGATGACGTGGTTAGGTGGAGTTGCATTAAGACTTAATCATCAAACGACTTTAACAAGAAATCCAGTGGTGATTTAATCACCAGAGACTATTTTGTCTGCAACTATGACCAATTAATAAAGTCCTACTTTACCACAACGGCCAAA